AGACCAGATCTGGAGGTTTTGGAGGGGCTGAAGAGACCAGATCTGGAGGTTTTGGAGGGGCTGAAGAGACCAGATCTGGAGGTTTTGGAGGGACCGTTGTCCCTCTCTAGTAGTTCAACAGTCCTGGATGGAAGCATATATTTTAAAAACTTTTTTTTTACTTCCTGCATTGAGGAAATCTTTCCAGATGTGTAAGCTGTCTCTAATGCACCCCCATACCATCAGTGAGGCAGGTTTCTGAGCTGCGTTGATAATACGGAGGGCGTGGCGTCTCAAAAACAAATTAAATGTGAAAACAGAACACTTTGGCTCGGCCTGTTTTTGTTCCAGAAAAGACGGCAGCGGTTCAGATGGCGCTCTCATATGGCTTCATGTTTGCGTGATAGAGCTTTAATCAGCGTTACAGCACGTTGAATTGGGTCTACAGATGTATGGAAGTGTTCCTAGAACCACGACCTGCTTTTAATGCAAAGATCTTGACCGCCCAGTATCGACGTTCAGCCTTTGAGCTAAGAGATTTCTGCAGATTATATTAATCTGTCAGTCAGATTATGAATTTAAGATGACGAGAGATTCAACGTCTTTGGAATTTTCTGTTGAGGAACTTTATTCTGAAATTATGTTTTTAGATGCAGTTTTTCACAGACTGGTGAACCTCTGCCCATCTTTTCTTCTAAGATTCAGCCTCTAAAATGATCTTTTTATACCTGCTCCTCTTTCTAACTCGTTAATAATTAACCTGATTATTTGTAAAAAGCTCCTCGTTTGTTTAAAACATTTAGCTTTAAGTTGCTGCCTCAAATATCAACATTACCTTTAAAAATAGTTATTGTTAACCTTGGATTATCTGCAGCTTATCTTAGATTCTAGAGTCTATTGTGAATAAAATGTGGGTAAATTAAACTTGTAAGTCCCTGAGTTATTTTTTTTACTTTTTATACAACGTCTCAAATTTGAAATTGTAATAAAAGCATTTGGAAGCAAAATCTGCAGAAAAATCTCATAAAATCTGAAAATGTTTTCATGTTTAAATGAATTGATTGAATTTGGATAAATATAAAATGTGAGGAGAAACTATTTTTATTTACATCTAATAGTTTTATTCTTATTCCTGCACACGCTGCCTGAACCCTTCTTATAGAAGCAGAGCTGCGCAGCTTATTTTTGCAGCATACCAGGTATCGGTGCGGTTCGTTCAGGTGACAGATTCAACCTGTCTGTCCCGCTCTTTCTGTCTCCGGGCGACATTGTGTGGAGTTGATGCAACCTGTCAGTTTCTCTCACTGTTGACCACACCTTCGCCGCAGCTCGTAAAGCGCGGCGGTGTGACGGCGTTCAGCGCTCCTAGTCTGCGTCGGGACGGATCGTTTTAGCTGTGAAGTCACACGGACATAAATCCTCAGAGGGACACGCCCTCCTTGAGTCGACAGTGCTGTGATCCCAGCAGCCGGGGGGTGAACCGGCGAGGTGTCGGTTTGTGTGCAGCGGTTGTGGCTGCAGGCATGTGGCGACCCCAGTTTCGGGCGAGCAGTTTTAAGTTCACGTGGAGGAGGAGGAGGAGGAGGGGGAGGAGGTGGAGGAAGAGGAGGAGGTGGA